AAAAAAACTTTACAGACAGTGACAGTGCAGATTTAAGTTGTTTTTTGCATGTTATCGCGCTTGAATGGTTTAATAGCACTTGAATTAATGATATATACTGGCTGATCATATACCGAAGCACAGCCAAAGGATGACAGAAAAAAAAAATGGATGCGTTAACCTGAAAAAAAAGTTAATTTTGACAGCCCTACATAAATTACAGCATATTAGTGTTGATAATTACTCATTAAAAGGGGAAAAATAGTTTCCAAACAAGCTTTTCGTGTCCCTTTAAGTATCGACAAGTTAAATGGAAATTGTGTCGACACAGAGATAATTAGCATTTCCATCAGCTATATTGATAAACATTTTGATGAGCTACATTCCCCTTGTAAAGGCTTCTTGTTGAAAGCAAAGACAAAAACAGCCGTTAGAACACTCATCACTAAAGGTGGTGTAAAGGGCCAAATCAAAGGTGAATATACAACGCATTCTCACCCCAAGGCGTCACTAAAATGACAATTTTGACCATGCTTCAATATTCAACGCTTTAGGCACCCTTTAGCGTCAGTTACATGACGCGATCCTAGGGCGTCATCTTACTGACGCTTTACCTAAGCGTCAGTTAGATGACGCGGGTAGGTTTAGGTCTGGGGTAGGGTTAGGATTAGATAGCGTCATCTAACTGACGTTAAAGGTAAAGTGTCAGCAAGATGACGCCCTAGGATCGTGTCATGTAACTGACGCTAAAGGGTGCCTAAAGCGTCGAATATTGAAGCATGGTCAAAATGATTCCCAAGGCGTCAGTTTCACGACGCCTTGCTCTAATGAGGAAACTTTTATCATGCACCATGCACCGAAACGTTACTCTTGATTCGCACGACTTTTCAGATGACTTTTAAAGCTGCAGTCCGGCATTTTTCCTCTTTGTCGCCATCTCTGTTCGAAATCTGCAATTGCAGTCATTCGCGGAATTATCAACTTTACGTGAGTTGTAGTTCAACACCCTCGACACGGCACAGTGCGGATGAACACAGTGTTTGAGGAGAGTGTGCAGCTGTCAGTCACCGCGCCGATGTGGATATTGTCATTCAGAATCACAGATTATTCTTTTTGGAAGTGTGACCAACATAAGAATTTTCACCGGGAAATGTCATCTGAACTAGTAAGAAACATTCACTTTTGTTCTGGTTCTGACATTGCAGTAAATCGCGCTGATTAAATCTAACAATTGCTTATAAGTTATCATTTCACGCAAAACCGTGCAAAGTAGCTATACTATGTTCTCAAATTGTTAATGTTAACAACGTCAGCAAGCATTGCGTGACTACATCATGTAATGTCCTTCCGATATTATCCTTGTTTTCGCATGGGTCCGGTTGCAGTCTCTTTTTTTTCTGTAGCCACTCCGAAGTCCGAACGAAGTCTTTTGCATGTTACAGCGGGTGAGTCTCTAGTTGTCACTGATGATGATCGTCGTTTGAACCTTTCTGGATCCGCCATCAAATTGATAAGTTTAATTATATCAAGTGCTGTGAGAAAAGGCTATAAATCTCTACCTCCAACATCCTCACACGCAATATAGCTTATACTAGCCGAGACTCCTCCTTTATGTGTACAGATGTGACGTAATGACGCAAAGACATGCTCGAATCTCCCGCGGAAATCCACCAGTACCACTAAAATTAAAAACATTATTACAAGCTTACCGTTTTGCATCGAGCTAAGGCAAGCAGATAGTTTTGAACACTGGCTGGTTATGTATTTTATCAAATATGTATTTTGGATAATTTTTAACCCAAAAAAAGCTACGGACAGCAGCTTTAAATGTCCCTCTGGCATCATATTCAACTTATTAAAGTGGATTAAATTACCCAAGGCTAAACTTTTAGGGTTAAAATAAAACAATATCTGTCATCATGTCATTCAAATATTGAATGACAATATTTAATACAAGTCTTCTGTGGAACAAAGTCTGAGCTGTACTTTTACATTCACTTTTACTGTCAGTTTCAAAAATTAGACAAGCATTTTAAAAGAAGTCCACTGTACTTCTGTGATGTATACAATCTTCTGAAGACATTGCTTTGGGTGAAGAACAGATTGAGATTAAAAACCTCAGCTGAAGTGATGACTGACAAATGATTATTTTTGATAATCGACTGAAAGCCTTTTTGCAAAATGGAAATACTTGTGTGACATTGTAACATTTACAGATAAGGATTTAGCAGTCAGATGTAAGTTCTGTGAGGGAACATGCACAAGCAGCTCACTCTGTGCCCTCCGCTATTATTCAGATGTGTTATGTCCATAGAAATGCATTATGCACTGCAGTAAAGGGACGTAATTCCTGGATGTTTTCCGTGCACAGTGCACAGATGCAATTAATCAAATTCATTGTCGATTATTTTCATTATTGATTATTATTGATTAGTTGTTGTAGCCTTAGAAAATATGCAGTCATGGGCAAGAATCATGTTTGGATTTATTACAGTTCGTCACAGATAAGGTTTGCTCGTAGATTTATTAGCAGACTCGCTGTATAATGCTTTCATTAGATTCTCACAATCAATAAACTTTAACATACATGTTTGTCAGTGTTGTCGGCTCATCAGCACTTTTTTTTTTTCAGTGCCGAGAGAGTGTGTGCATGGTTGCCAGATGGAGAATATTAACTCTTTCACGAGTAAGTTTAAAATATTCTAACTGACCAGAGTGAGTTTTTTCAAGGCGACCGTTATTTTAGAACGTTTCCCTTCTTGTTTCCGCAAACACAATAACACTGTATGACAGATGTATCACTTGTATTTCCTTTTTCCTTTTTTATTCAAAATGTTCACAAACTTGCTTACCATGTCATCAACTATCTGATATTCCGATTCTCAAATACGTGTAAGTGAGTGTGTTTTGTCGTTTAAAAAACCTTTATAAATGATCTCGATCTATATCGTGAGATGGGCGCCGATATGTTTGTTTGCGCCGCAGTTCAGAGAGTCCTGTCAGTCGGATTTACAGCACGTGAATTCATCAGTTTCTCCCGAAATACATGCAAGTAAGTGGCCGGTAAACTGGGAGAAGAATAGTCAACTTTATAGTCACTCCCACTATGTGTGTCTGATATGATATGAATAAAACCTGTTGGCAAATTATATTTGAATAGATTGTTATTGCTGCTTCCATAGACATATGGAAGCAGAAATAGTGCTTATTTACTATTTCCATAGAAATAGTGTGTATTTACAAACTCCAAATGTATTGTTTTACTAGTGCTTATTTCTATTTAAATGTCTGAAACCTAAAATAAAGGTTAACCATTATGTGGTTGAAAACACTGCATAGTTGTGATATATGACAAGCGCTGAGCGCGTCCATCTCTAGCTCAGCCCCAGCCAACGCACGAAAGCACAGTTTAAATCTGGCAGTTATGGGACGTCACTGTGCATTCTAAATCCCATATGTGGGACCGTACTCTCGGGGGCACAGAAATAAAAATCCCATATATGGGACCATATCGCTCAATGGGCAGAATGATCTTTTTAAGAGAAAAGCCCAGTTTGGGGGATTTTTTATCTTGACATCTGGCAACCCAAATCAGGATGCTTGTTACCGATGCAAGAGAATGGAAATAAAAAAAATGTTTTCTGGACAAATAATGTCTGAATAGAAGAATATATAGAACATTTTCTTCCAAGAGTATGGGACTCCTTTGAAAACTTGAACTGTTTTACCTAGTATTAAGTCTAGCCTCAACGTCAAACTTGGATAGATCAAATGATGAAATCATCTGAAGTGAGCTGAGAATGTCCAAGAGCAAAATGTAGGTGGTGCAGGATAAAAGGCAATGACGATTCCCCTTTAAGACCACCCTGTGTGGATCACTGGTTGGTCCAGTAATAATTCCACTCCCCTCTGCTGTGGGTACTAAGCACAGTCCATCAGCCTGAAATCAGTCTGTGAAACCGTCTTTTTCTGGATCTAAGTGCTTCCTTGATTGCTTACTGTTGATTAAAGCACCCAGGAAGAAATCAAAGCATCCTCTTGACTCATTGATCTTCAGTCGTCCTTGGTAAGCTCAGTATGTGGAAGAGGTATGCTAACACCCTGCCACCATAACCAGTGTTTTACGAATATGTCAAGGACCAATCTTGAATCTTGATTTCATTTTGTAATTCATAACATTCCACACATTAAAGATGCTACCGTCTAATACAAAAAATAAAAAATAAACTTTATACGTAAACAACTGAACAGCAATTTGATTAAAATGTGAATAAAAATCCTGCACCGGGTCATGTCAATCTTCAAGAAAAAGTTGTTTTATTTTACATGAAGTGGGTCATCAACTCAAAGGAGCTGTCATGTCTAAAACACAAGACAATGACAAGGCGTTTTGCAATTTGGAAGTTACCACACCATACAATATAACATTTAGCCAGTGCGCAAGGTAAAAAACAAATATAAGTACATGTAAACAAAACAAGCAATATAAACCAAAAGGAACAAAACAAAAGACAAACAGCTTTGGTCTGAAGCAACAGCCGTTAGTAAACAATCATCATGCGTCCACACTACTAGGTGTCAGTATAAAGTACAAGAACACTAAGATCAAGAAGAGCCAGTGAAATATGGGGGGAGAGAAAAACTTTAATTAATCATTCAAATGGGTTATATTTTCCACAGACACTACCATTCAAAAGTTTGGAGTCAGTTAGTTACTAAATATATTTATTTCAAAAGATTTATTATTTCTCATCAACAGTGTTATTTAGAATAAATAATCCTGAATTAATTTTTTTATATATATATATATTTAACTTGAAATAATATTTCAGAATATTACTGTTTTTACTGTGTTTTTGATCAACACTGCATCAAATCACTGCAGCATTGGTGAGCATTAGACATTTAAAAAAGGTTTTCATTAAATTGAAAGAATCAAATCTTACCGACCCAAACCTTTGAACAATAGTATCCAACACTAAAAACGACAGTAGGCCAATATGAATTATTATGATACTCACCCAGATGTTGCCATCTTGATGGTATGGTTTCCAGTTTCTGCCTGTGTCACTGTAGAGCAGCCGGTAGCGTGTTGTCCAATCAGAGCTGCTATATCGACCCTGCGTGGCGATGGCTGTGACCTGTTTTCTGCTTCCCAGGTCGACCTGCAGCCACTGGTAATGATCACTGTCCAGCGGAGACCAGCCCCCCGCACCTAGAGAAAGAGCACAATGCTCAGCATCTAGTTGTATTGATCTAAAATCTTTATGGTTGTGTCACACAGGGGAGTGAGGAAAGCAGAACAGGAACAAATGTTTTAGATTTTTTTTTGTAAATGTTATACATGTTCTTTTCAAAGTTACAAATTGAATGGGTCGATAATCTACAAGAGCTTTGTAATTTATCAAAGATAATCTGTTATGGTGTTGGGTCTATTGAACTAACTGGATATATTCAAGAGGAACATCTGTATTATTCTGTTCTCACTTCTCTTGGAAGTCTTAAGAACAGATTGCCTTACAGATGTTTTATCTGTGCTTTTAGCTGGAGGCTTTGGAACATTTGTTAAAGGGATATTTGAAGGATCATTAAATATCGTAAATCCAACCATTAATATTAACAAAACAACCCCTTTTTAACGCCTCCCAGTGCCTTCACGACCCCTTTTCAACCCCTCATGTAATTCCCATTATGAACACATAGGGCCTCCTTCATAGCATATCTTTGCATATGAAATAATAATAATTTGCATATCAACTTTTTCTACCGCAGGAATATATATATATTTTTTTAAATCATATCTTTAACACAGAGATACACTGTATTAAAAAAAAAATATTACAGGCTACAACACATCAAAATCATAAATGCAACCTTCATAACAGCTTCAAGGAGTTTACTTTAAATAGTTTTATCATAAGAGGGTCTTCTTTCTGTCCCTAGAAGTGGAGAATCATCAGGGCTGGACTGGGGCTAAAATTTCCCCATAAATTACTTAATCCATATTAGAGTGATATAAACAAAAAAAGTATTTAAATATTTGTGTGAACATGATGAATGATCATTCTTTCAAAATGTAGACCCCTAATAATGATTGTTACCAAATAAAAGACAACAAGTGTGTGAAGAAAATTAAGAAAATTAAAAATATCACTTATGAGCAGAATATTTTTATTGTGCATCATTTCCAATCCAGCGGTAATTGTCACAGCTTTGTGAAAATTGTGAAAATATTATTTATTTATTTTATTCTAAAAGTGTTAACAGTGTCATTTCCACCACAAAATAATATTAAGCACAACACATAATTTGAGATATGGTGGAATATTGTGGAAATGGACTTTCAATAAATAAATAAATGAATAAATAAACAAACAAACTTGCAATTTTACAGGAGCAAAAGTGCCCATAAGGAAACACCCAGATATGAATACTATATTCTATAGCGAAGCCTTTTTATTTATTTATCTGTATTTGTATTGGTATGACAAACATGAATTGGACATTGTTTAAACTGAGAGTGCCTAAATGCAAAGCTGATATTTATGTCTCAATTAAGTTTTTTTGTGCCCCCGATCCGATCTGAATCATTGAATATTAGTCCCGATCCGATAAATGTATTTTTCTAGTGCTTGGTTCACACTTCAAGCACATTAAAGTTATTAAACCCAATCCAGTACAGGGATGTGCAGAGAGTTTCTCAGTGGCTCAAATGTAAAAAAAGGGGCTACTTATTTCGACACCACGGGTTGCCAGTTTGCGGAAAACACAGAGTATTGCAGACATGGAAGACAGCAATGAACAGGGTCAGAGATAGCAGATTCTACCAGACCTATAAAGCCTCAGCATCCATCTAAAAAGTTATATGACCAGAGAGGCATATTAAAACGCAGATAAGTCAACGGATCAACTTAAGGCTCGTCAAGCTGAGGAGGAGGGAGCGGGGCAAACAAATCTCCAATATTTTGAATTTGGACTGCAGTACCCATTTCAACTGCTAGCTGTCAATATTACATACTGCACCTTTAATAGCAGTTAGAAAACCTACTTGAAGGTGCATACCGTCACCTACTGCATGACATCTACGCGACAGTTGACGTAGAGTAAAGGATCGGGCTTAGGATAGCCGATACCGATCAGTTAAAAAATAGCTTAATCGGCCCCGGTACCGATTCTTGAGATCGGCTCAGGGCATCCCAACCTAGAAGTAAATCCACTCCATTAAGTTCCTTACTATCTTCATTGTAAACATAAAGCAGAATGGCACTGCAGCCAGCCAAAGGGAGAGTCAGAGTGAGGACATAAAGTGAGGGTCAGCAGTTTAGGGTGTCCATGGATCAGTACAAGACAGAAGCTTAAGAGAGTGTAAGGGAGCCAGGGGACATCCACTCCACCGCCACCTGCAACCTGCCACCAAGGCAGATGTTCTGAGGAGATAAAGAGAGCAGAAAAAGGGCACTGGAAGGACACCAGACTCTGAGAAAGAGGGGGATAAAATAGGTAGATGGGTAGGCAGAAGACAAAATAGCTCCTGGAGTTGTAACGTTAGGACCAGATAAAATAAAAATAAAAACACTCAATGAATCTGATCAAACAAGAAAACATAGAACTGAGGAGATGAAAAATAAATTGCATTATGTTTGTCTAACCCTGCCTGATGGGATATCTGTGTAGCCTTATAGATGTGGCATGTAGGACTTTGTGATGATAATGCACCTAGGCGATGATAAATCATATGGCATAATTTTTGAATAGTTTACCATCTGCTAACACGCTGACACTAAAGGAAAGGGACTCGCAACCTATGTGATTTGCTATGCCCATTTTAGTGATATGCTTTTGCATTGCGTACTTATGACTTCATTGACTTGAAAATATGAATCTATTTGATCACTTCTGGATTCAAATGTACATATGAAGATGCACACATTACATTTGCAGTATTGGTTTCTTATACAAGAGGAAGCAAAGCGACGGGCAGGACAGTATCAATGGGAGTATGCTGCACATTAATCACAGAATGATCTGTCTGAACTCATAATTAAAATGCTGTCATTACTGTTTTATCAATTTCATGCTAGAAGTTTTGCCTCAGCTTTATTTGAAAACTTCATCCACCATTTGAATAAAAGAAATGGTTAATCCAAAAAAAAAAAAAGATCTCCAGAATGTTGTCATATATTCACACTCACGTTGTTCCAAAATCCAAATATCGCTCTATATCAGCAGGGCTGTGATTTGGCCATAGGCATGAGACCGCAGGCCATATCGCACGGCTACAAGTGTGATATTGTGTTTATACAACAGTTCGAAAACACAATTGTGTAAATAAATAAGAAACAACAACAGAGTGTCTTTAAAAGCCAGAAGTGCCTTGGTGGGAAAATACTTTCTTCCGCCATGGATTCAAATCAAGTAGAGTGTTATGAGAGAGAAATCGACTAAGCGAGTACATTACCTGCTGATATTCTTCAGGTCAATCTTATATTCATAATCACAAAAAAATTAGTTTGAATGTCATCTGAGGAAAGCACTATCTTTGTCCTTTTAACAGTTAAGGGGAATTCCAATGAAAGCACATTTCAAAGCATTTGTAAGTTGTCTTATGGATGTCTTATGAACTTATGGATGTCTGGATGTTGTTTAAAGTATAAACATTTTTCCTTGTTTACGACCTTGTTTCAGTCCTTTTCAATATAAAAGTCTTTACTACTGACTTATTCATACAGACAGGCTTTGCTGCCATAATGGCGCAACAATGTAACTTCCACTAAAGTTGAAATCACAATCACTAACAGACCCTTTCTAAATAACAGATATGGTATGTTATTTATATAAAATATTGGTTGCACTTTATTTTACGTTATCAGTAGCCGCGTTTCCATTACCCTTCAAATTGCGCAAATTGAAATTGCGAATTGAAAATACGCTCAATGGAAACACGTCCATTTCGCAAAAACTCCCGTTTATCGCAAAAAAGTTTTTACGCTCGCATGAGGAGGTTTTTCAGGCAATTCGAAAAAGGAATATTTCGCAAAACTGCAATGGAAACAGGTTTTGCGCATTTACAGTCACCTGACTTAGAAGACGCGGTGAGTTTGGGGTCCGTGTCCGCAAATAATATAATAATAATTATCATCATTATTATAACATTTATTAGGCTGCGTAGAAGATGCTTTTATCCAAAAAAGGATCAAAGCAATTCGTCACATCTCATTCATAATACAGGGCTAAGATTATCACAAATAAACAAGATTTTGACGCATATCCAAGTGTTTGTGCGGAGTGTGGAGCGTGCACTGCATGGCAGGGGGGGCGCGGGCGCGAACACTTGCATTTTCCTATCAACAGTGGAAACAACTTAAAATAGGCTACTCTATCATTTCTGGTCATACAGAAAATAATAATACATTATTCGCAACTGCTTTTATTTGTGTAAACTCACAATAACAAGAAAACGTTGTGCTTTTGTAAAATAAAATAAAACAATCAGGCGCGCTTCATCATGGTCTCCGTGAACTGAAGCGCGAGAACTGAAACAAAATATAGCCTAAGCTAAAGCTTGAAATGTCCACTTTAAAACGAATTCGAATCGAAAGCTAATAGCCTACCTTCTGATTATGTAATCCGTATGAAAGGTGCATTTCTCTCTAAATGTGCACCCGCCTTACAGCGGAGATGGAGATGTTTTAGCCGACACTGATTTTTTATTAATAAACAATTAAAATGCCTTGTTATTTTTTCAGACACATTTATTAATTATTATAGCCTATAACTCACCTATAAATCACATTTCTGTAGGCTGTGGTTATATGGCTCTTCTCATTCAGCACTGCGGGAAAAATATAATTTCCAGGTTCTAATTTGGCCTTAGAAAACCAGTAAAATCTACTTCTTTTTTTTTCATTTTAAATTGTCAATATTTTAAATGTTTAATAAAGGGGCAAAAAGTCATAAACAAAAATCTGAAAATTCGTCGATATTTATTTTTTTGCGCAGCATTTGGTGTGTAGGTACAGTTCAAATTAAAATTTTGGTGTTCAACTTTGCGTTTTAAAAATACAACCGTTCATTTTTCGTTTTGCAATTACGGGTTAAATAAGGAAAAACGAATGGACACAAAAGTGTTTGGACATAATACGAGACAGAGTTCTTTATTAAATTCATAAAAGAAACAATAATTACAGGAATACTGGATTCTAAACCTCAAAGAAA